AGAATACTGGAGTGGGTTGCCATGTGCTCCTCCTGGGATAACCTGGGAGGGCCAGTTTCGATCAGTTGACAGGCTGAAGAAGCAGATCTGAGACTCCGGGAAAGAAATATCACCTGTGCCTGGGAGTTTCTGCTCATGACCAAGAGTTCTAGCCTGTCCTTACTGGTAGCCTGCCCCGAAATTATGGGATTTGCCACAATTGCCTGAACCAATTCCTTGCTACCTGTGTGTCCCACTGGTTCTGCTTCTCTGGTTGGTACGTCTGAAAGACACACCAATACTCAGAGACGTCACAGACAGGCATCAGTTTACTCAGCAAGTTAGTAGCTCATGGGTCCTGCTCTTTCCCACTGCGTTATCCCAATCAGAGACAGGAGAGAAGAACATTTGAGGGTTTTGTTTGTTTTGTATATGCCTCCTTTTTTTATTTATTTAAATGAATTACGTTTAAATTGTTAAAATATTACACAATTCTGTAGTTGAGAATTGGGCATATCTGTCTGCAATGAATGCCTGAATACGTCAATTTTTCCCCCTCAAGCTCCTTTTCTAGATTTGATATCAAAATTATCTTAGAGCCGGTAAGGAGGTACTAGCATTTCTCTCCTGTGAAGTGGAGATAATCTAATTCAGGGAGTTTAGTCCCAGATTTCTCACCTCACTCACACCTCAACCTGTCTTCTCTTTCAGATTACTAGAAAGGAACATTTTGACTTGCTTCTCAGTTTAAAAAAGAAAGGAATAGGATCCTGGACATTCCCTCCCTCCCTCCCTCCTACCCTATTTCCTCTGCAAAATCCCTGGCTGTGAATTCTCTCTCTGGGGCCCCTTCTTTCTTTTAAGCTTCTTCCCCCCTTCTCCCCACCCAGTGTCTGGCTCCCCCTGCGCTAGATTGACTAGAGCCCCTCCTCTGGTGAAACAGCCGAGGGCTTTCCCGCAGCAGGGCCTTCCAGAGACGACCTGGAGTCCTCCCGACCGTCATCCCCCTCCTCCACCATCGCTCTTTTCTCACCCGCCTCTGGCAGGCGACAGTGGCTGTGGAAGAGGCTCCTTCTCTTGACCAGTTCACCCAGGAGAGAACAAAGTGAAGATTCCAGAAGTGGCAGGGCTGAAAGTTCTAGCATCTGCAGGCTCAGGCTCCTCAGAGCTGGGGGTGTTGGGGCGTGTGTCGGGTCTTAGACCTGCACCTGCTTTGCACTGGGGCTTCAATCACTCAGGAAGGGGGGCCAAGGTGGGTGCCAGGGACTCATTATTTTGTGGGCGTATCTAAACCTGTGTTGGGCAGTGAGGTGAGTTGTAAGGACAGAGCTGCGGGTACCCAATCCGTACACAGCCCCCCACACACATGCATATGCTCATCAACAATCAAAACACATTTAAAAGAAATAAGTTTATTTACTTGTTTCCGGGGGTCTGTGCAGGGTCTTCGTTGCTTCTTGGGCTTTTCTCTAGTTGCAGCGAGCGGGGGTACCCCTAGTTTCAGTGAGCAGAATTCTCACTGCAGTGACTTCTCCTGTTGTGGAGCCCAGGCTCTAGAACATGCAGGCTTCAGTAGTTATGGCACATGAGCTCAGTAGTTGCGGCTCCTGGGCTCCAGAGCACAGGCTCAATAGCTGTGGCGCACAGACTTTTTTGCTGCGAGGTATGTGGGATCTTCTTGGGTCAGGGATCAAAATCCTGTCTCCTGCACTGGCAGAAGAATTCTTTACCCCTGAGCCACCAGGGAAACCCAAAACACATTTTTTGAGGAACTAGGATTTCTTATCTAAAACATGGGCATGTCCAGAAATCCAGGTCACATGGGTGATGGTTGAAAGGACCTAAGGTATACACTCTGCAGAAGAGAAGAGAAGGGGAGATAGAGACAAGAGAGACACCCCGAGATGACTGAGGGGCTGCCTGTCTCGTTGAAGAGGGAGAGGACCTCCTGCATCCCATCTCATCCTCATTCTTTAGTTCTGGAGGGACCACTGGGACTGATGGGGAGAAGTTACATGGAAATAGGTTACGACTCAACCAACTCTTTCCATCCCACAGAGGAACAAGCTAGTGAGTCCCTGGTCATTAGAGGAATTTACATAAAAGTCCCTTGACCAATCATCTGGCAGACGGGAGGCAGGAATTCTTAAAGAGGTAGGGAATTGGGTACCATGACCTCCAAGCTCCTTCCCAACTCTAAGATTTTATGAAGAGCCACTTGACATTCATGGTTTTCAACTAACAAATATGCTTTTATGTTACCTGCCTTGTACTGAAAAAGATACATTTAAAGGTTCAAGTTTTCTACACCCTGCAAAACCAACTGGGCTGCCTGGGTTCTGAGGAGAATGTGATAATGGAGTGACTGACAGGAAGTCAATCTGGAAAGCAATCTGGGGAGGTGGATTTTGAATAGGATGGTCTTTTTAAAAAATTTCATTTATTTGATTTTTGGTTGTGCTGGGCCTTCGTTACTTTCATCGGACTTTCTCCAGTTGTAGTGAGCAGGGGATATGCTTCATGGCAGTGCGCAGGCTTCTCATTGGGGTGTCTTCTCTTGTTATGGAGCACAGGCTCTAGGCGAGTGAGCTTCAGTAATTGCAGCACGCAGGCTAAGTAATTGTGGCTCATGGGCTTAGTTGCTCTGAGGCATGTGGAATCTTCCTGGACCAGGGATCAAACCCGTGTCCCTTGCATTGGCAGGCACATTCTTATCCACTGTGCCACCAGGGAAGACTGAATGGGATGGTCTTGACTTTCACCACTCAAACCACACTACTGTCAGTAGAGAATTAGATCATTCCAACTGGGTGCTCAGGGCAGGCCTCCTCCTCGGGGCAGGCCAGACCCATTCCTAGGCTGAGACCTCGAGGCCAAGGCAGCAGGCGAGGCCAACGATCTTCTTTTGTGGTCCTTGGCACACGCAGCGCTCCCCACCTGTGCAAAGTGTGACTCCCTTAGAAGCTCCCAGACTCACCTCCTAGTGACTTGGGGCCTCACGACTCAGGGCTGCCGTTTGGCCACAGAAAACAATGCGTCTTGGGTCTCACGACAGAGAGAGAACAGAGCTTGCAGGTTACTGCTTTCTCTGAAGTCAGGCCACCACCACTTCCTGATGCTTGGCTGTTGACCTTCTTCCATGTGTTCACTGTCTTTCTGTCTCGATTCTTTCCTGTCCAAATGAAATTCTTTGAGCCCCTAGGCCTGTTGGTTTGTTCTTATTTTCATGGCTAGTATCCAGCACTTCAGATGGGCAGGAAGCCAATGGACACAAACTTTGCTTCTGTACTGGGTTCTGAGAGGATCTTTGGCACAGAATATTTCCCTTTTTAGGTAGAAGGTGGGAGGTGGGAAGAGGGGGCCAATATGCAGGTGTGCCACATGTCAATTAGCAACTTGCTGCTTCTAATTCCACCTTCCCCAAGCAAAGAAATTTCCCTGGAACAGGGCCAGAGATGGCATGCGGGAAATAAAAATATTATTGGAGCTGGTGCTATTTGGGGGAGAGTGTCATGTCTGAGAAACCTAGTTCCCTCTATGAAGTGACTTGGGCCACTGGCTTTGCTTTGTGGAGAGTTTAGTGGGGCTGGACGGCATGATACTAGCTGAGGGTCTACAATCGCAGAGAACTCCCAGGGACTTTGGAAAACTAACCTCTGTGTTCAGTTTTCAGAAGGGCTAATAAGGAAGAAATTAGGCCTAAGTCCTGAGCCTTCAGCCTTAGTTTCTTATTCCTTAACTGGCCTCTTGCTAGCCAGATAGCAACTCCCAGCATGGTTTTGGTGCCTCGTCACATGCTCAAAGGCCCTGCACCCACCCAGAGGTGCCACACTTACAATCTTTTCTAGGTGGGAAGAGAAAGGGGTTTTTTGCATGTATGTTAACCTTTTCTGGAACTTTTAATTTTTATTTGTTGACTGATTGATTCGGCAGCACCTCGATTTTTGCAGGATCTTAGTTCCCTGACCAGGGCTTGAACCTGAATCCTAGGAGTAAAAGCACCAAGCCCTAGCCATTGGGCCACCAGGGAATTTCCTGGAACTTTTCATTGACATGAAAAAGTTTTCATTAAAATCATGTGCATATATACACCTACAGTTTTTTCTTCTAAAGACCGTTCTCTGTCACTGTTGAGATAAGGCAGGGTCAGGGGCTGGGAGGACGGGGCTGGAAGAGATGAAAACCTGAAACACGAAAGAGCTAGACGCATCACTTGTCACAAGTAGGAAGCAACCACATGTGTGCTCAGGCCTCGTGTGGGCTCACGTGTGTGTGTGTGTGAACGTGTGACATACGTAAGGATTTTGTCTGTGTGTGACACTTTATAGAAGCTCAGTAGATGGTGGCTCTTCATGGGTGGGAAGATCAGTGAGGACAGGATGAGTCACACGAGGCTTTGGGAACAAATATTTACTTAGGGTTTTTTTCTTGTTAGAGAACTTCAGCTTGAACCCGTTTATGGAAAGGAAGAAAGGAAAAAAATGCCATAAGTGGGGGAGGGGAAGGGGGAGAAGCTCACGCTCCTCATCTGGGAGGAGCTCACAGATGGCTCCCGCATTTAAGCTGTACTATGGGCAGGGCTGCTGCTGCCTGGGGGTGATGGAGGTGACACCCTCCCTCCCTCTCTCATCTCTGCTCTTCCCCTTGCTGCTGATGTCTTGCTTCATCCTCATGACTCCATGTTGGGGGAGGGGGTGGGGGACCTTGGCCATCGGTCGCTTTGGGCTGACGAACCACCACCTGAAGACCAGAGAGGGAAAAAAGCTTTCCCATACTCTAGTTAGGAAGATCTCAGGGGGATTCCCCAATGGTCCAGTGGTTAGAACTCCGCCCTTTCACTGCCGAGGGCCCCAGGCAGGAAGGACCCGGATCTCTGCGGATTAGTCCACCACAGCCTGTCCCTAACCCGCAGACAGGCCTGTCTGGGGTGGGGTGGATTTTGTGAGTGAACATCTTTCCCAGAATCCCATGGGCCAAGCAGGAGAGGAGCTGACCCCTGGGAAGGGCAGGTGGACAGCAGATCAAACAAGATCCCAGTCTTGCATCCTCACCACAATGGACGCGGTGCCTGCGCTGGGCCCTGAGAGCCAGGGAGGATTTGAACGGAGAGGGGAGGAGGGCTGCTCTGCGCTCAAGGAGAGGGAGCAGGCTGCAGACTCTAGGGGCACCGCCATGCCCAAAGCCACAGCACTGATCTCTTCACAATAAAATCTGTATATCACCACCTCCACTCCTTCTGAAGATTCTGGACATGTGTCAAGTTTTCCCAGAAACTTGAAACCCACAGCAGAAGCAAATGCTCTTTCCCCTGACTGCTGGGTTCCCCTCCTGGCCTGGAACCTCAGGAGATGGAGACAGCTTCTAAGTGTTTGGAAAGTGCTTATTTCCTCCACTGACAACATTCCTAGTTTTAAAAGTTTCTTTGCTTTCTAGAGTCTTTTTTTTTTTCCACGTAGCTATTTTTGACGAAAGTATAAATATCCACCAGGCTGACTGGAGAGACAGCTGCCGGCTCCAGCTCTTAGCACAGCCCCCACCCCCATTACCCTCCACAGAGCCAGCCAGAACCCATCAGGGGGCCTGGACTCAGACTTGTGGCTGGAGGCAGCACTAGTCAAGGGCCCATTCAGGTTTCCAGGCTTTCCACAAGGACTCTCAGAGCCACAAGCCCACAGGAGCGGCTGCACCGCTGTGCCCTGGAGGAACCAGGAAGTGGGTGGACACCAGAAGTGCCCGGGGTGTCCTGAGCCCAGGACAAGGGGCTACCCTGAAAGAGTACCCCACTCACAGGGCCAGACATCGCTCTGTCTCCTTTCTTGGAGGGAAGGTCCCGTGTCTCCTCCTCCTACCAGCCAAGTGACCATTTCAGTAATGCCCAATTTATGTCGCTGTGTGAGACGGTCTCAGGGACCCAGCTGGCAGCCATCCTCCAGCACCTCAGGCCACTGGCCAGCTGGTGGTGACTGAGAGGAGCTGTGCATTTAGGACACATCTTCCTACTCAAGGAGCTGCCCAGGCCTGCTGCTTTCCACCCTCCCTCCCTCCCCCCACTCTTCTTTCCCATAAACTGATTTAAGTGGAGTCCCTCTTACCGGTAATAACAAATCTTAGCCAAGTCCTTGTTCCCAGGACACCCTGCCCTAGGTTTCTGCTCCCTTCTGGCTCTGTAGGCCACACATCTTCAGAATAGATCCGAAACCCAGTCTACAAACCCAGCCATGGCCCTCCCACCCAAGCAGTGCCCAGCGCCTCTTCCCACATCCCCTGCTGGGACTGACCGCAGCAACCACAAACCTGTCTCAGAGCCTGCGGTCTGCGAGTGCGGAGATTTCTGGGGAGCGGTTGCCTTTGTGTTTGTCACAGCCCCTTTCCTCTGGGTCTGAGGAGGACTGTCTCTGTGGGAGATCCCTTTCCTCACCCTGCAGGAGAAGCGCTAGAAGCTTCCACCAGCTCACCCCTCCTGAACATGAACAGATGGGGGCTGGGAGGGGAGAGATCTCAGTGCCCCCTGAGGGTTCTTTCCTGTGATGATGCAGCAGGGCTGGAGGGTGCTGCTAGCTTCATCTCCACTGTTCCTTCCCGACAGCCCATCTGAAGCCGGAACCCTCTGCAGGAAGAAGTCTCTGGCCAAGAACATTCCTGGCATAAGCTGAGCATAGTAATTACCGGAAGATGCACATGGTCAAGAAATGCTCCCTGGGCGGGATCTGGGTGACCATGATGTATCTTGGGTCATTATATTGCCTCAGGCTTTGCATCCTGGTTTTAGCAGTGAGTAAAGTCAACCCTTTTATTTCCCAGGTGGCTCAGTGGTAAAGAATCTGCCTGCCAATACAGAAGACATGGGTTCGATCCCTGGGTCAAGAAGATTCCCCTGGAGAAGGAAATAATAACCTGCTCCAATACTCTTGCCTGAAAAATCCCATGGACAGAGGAACTTGGTGGGCTACAGTTTAGGGGGTTGCAAAGACATGACTTAGTGACTAAACAGCAATAAAGAAAAATAAAAAATAAATAAACAAAAATCAACCCTTAGACTCAGATGCCATTTCTGGGGCCTTGAAGTGTCCCTGAGGTTGAGCCTGCTGTCTCCTTGCAAAGTTGTATTTTGCAGCAGATTCACTCTTTGGGGCAACAGCAGCACCAAGGCCCTGAGACGGCAGTATCTCTCGGTGGACACACAAGAACAGCTGCAGCCAGTGGACCAGGACCAGACTGGCGACCCCTAGGGTCCTGGAGTGATGTGAGGAAAGTGAGAGGCAAGGCCTGGCCCTTGGGTGTGAGTACTGGGGTGACACCTGGAGACTCGCCTCCCATGGCCTCTGGGACTGAATGCAGCACTGCAGATGCAGGCTCTCTCTGGCCCCCAGCCTGCTGCTCCTAAGGCATATGAAATCAGACCGTCTGTTCCATCATCCACACTCAGTGCTCCTGAATGTCACGCCACCTGTCGTATGCCTCCCTGGGCACCAGGGAGAGTCTGGAGCTTTCTTAATTCCAAGCACGACTTCTTCATTTAACATTATTAGATTTCATCTTGTTATATGGCCTCTGCCTGCCAAGAGCTTTTTGAATTCTGATTTATCTAATAGATTTAGTTCCCTTCATCCATAAATCTGATAAGCTCTCCAGGTCTTCATCCAATTATTAAAGAGAACATAGGCAGGGCCACCGGCCATGCCCTTAAATTCCCTCCAAGGTAAGTAACATCAGTTCAACCAGTCCCTTGCTACAGCTCAACAGTGAGTTGTAAGTTCTGCTAACCACCCCTACTCCGCTTCTCATTTATATAGGAGACTTGGACGAATGAGTATGCCACACACATGTCCTTCATCAACCAGTCTCCAATCAAGGGAAGGAAATGAGTTTCATCTGTGCCCTTATTCTTGGTGAACCCGGTCTGGGCCCCAGGCTCAATTTAACTCGCCAACTTGTGGTTGCAAAGCGATCAGATTACCAAACATGTGGGCCTTTGAGAACTAACTTACCCAAGCCTCCCAGGAGAAGGGGTTGAGGAAGAAGTCTGAAGGAAGGCAAAACCCACCTCGGAGAAGGGCAACCTTCACAGCAGGAAGGACGCCAGCAGCAAACACTGCTGAGGGAATGGGAGGGAGGCACTCAAGGGACAGAGATCTGTCCAGTTCTGAGCTCGAGAGGACACAGGCAGGTGAGAAGCCATCAGAAAGGTCACATGAATGTTTATTACATAGAAAAGAAGGAAAGGAAGAAAAGGTTTCCAAAGCCATAATTCTGGGATTAAAAAAAAACACACAAACTTGGAATGTCAAAGAGATGCCATGCTATCTGTATTTATAATAGGACTATATAAATATGTACATGGAGATATGTACACAAGTTTTTATTGTCATACATGGTATTTTTCAATACATGTACAGTAATGGAGCTTGAAGGACGCATCTGAAGCCGGGAGAAGGCTGAAGAAATTGGAACCCTCTTCAGTGAGTGCCTAGAGGGCGCTGGGGAGACTCAGCCAGGTCAGGCAGGCCCGCCAAGGTGGGCGTGGGGAGGGAGGCAGGGTTATGAGGATATGAGGGAGCTAAGCTGCCCGCAGGGCTGGGCCCCGGGCTGCAAGGTTTGGGCCAAGGTAAGTCTGGAAACTTCCCTAGGTCTGTGACATTAAAGCTTTCCTCCTCTCTCAGAAGGGAGGAAGGCTGTGCAGTGGGCTGGAAAATATAGGAGCACTGGATCCCAGGGGAAGTCTGTGGTGGGGGGGTGGGCTCCCAGTGGTCTGGGCAGAAGTGAGACAAGAAAGCCCTGGGAGATCAGAGAGTGGGTCTTGCTGGAGAACAATAGAAATGTACGGTGATTCATCTAACATAAAGAAGAGAGACCCAAACAAAGCCAATCTTGGTATCAGAAATTACAAATCAAATACAACACTTATTCAAATATGAATTCTGCCGAGACACACAGAACCAGTCTTTTTTCTATGTATGTTGCTTTTGTTTAAAGATGGTATCATGTACAGCAATATGGAGCCTAGCCTGTAGAGGGGCAGTCATATGCTCCCACAGGGTGTCCAGGCCACTTACAACCACAAACACTCTCTTCCCGCTTGGAACAGGGGTCAAGTGCTAACCCAGAAAGTGGGGGCAGATGTGACCTCTGTCCCCCTTCTCTTCTTACTGGTTCCTGTACCCGGGCTGCTGGCGGGGGGGCGGTGGGAACAGAAAAAGACCTTAGAAGAGAGGGTTGTATGCAGCCCTACAAGAGCTGGGAAAGAGACCATTGTCTCCTCCTCTCTAAGCAGATCCCCCTTCCTGCAGGAGGCCAAACTGAGTGAGGGTATGGGCAGGGCCGGGTTTGGTAAGGTGGGGATGCCGAGCTCGCAGGCCCTGGGAGGAAAAGATCCAAGACCAGGGGTTCTGCAGAGAGAAGAAATAGCGTAGGTATCTGGGCATGGGAGGGGGGTGATGAGGACAAATATGCCATCGACCAGAGCCCACGCTGGAGGGAGATGGCCCCCGGATGGGGCACCGGGCTCCTCTTGAGACATTAATTCCCAACCCTGAGTCTCCAGACAGACCCTGGCCTGCCTCCTCCCAGCCTGAAGGGAGCTGTGTGTGCACATGTGTGCTGTGTGTGGGTGTGAGTGTGTGCACAGGCGGGGGTGTGCTTGTGTGGGTGCGTCTGCTCGCTCCAGGGTGAAAGTGCAGGTGCGGAGGCAGATCGTGGAGTCTGGACCAGCCTGGGTGACTGGCATTTCAACAAATCCAGGAAAGGAGGAAGAGGGGTGGGGAATGGAGATTTCACAGCTAGATCCAAGGCGAGAGACAACTAGTACCAGAAATCAGGACGCACGAGTGGGACCCTGTAGTCAACCTCCCCACTCCCTCCCCTGGACAGGATCAGGAAGGGAGAGTGGAATTGGAGGGGGGGGGCAGTATTTTGGTTTTACTAGGAAGAGTCCATGGGGCCTGCTGCTCCCTCTCCCTGTCCCTCACCTGGCAAGGCTCATCTTCCAAGCCCTTTGCTCTGAAAGAAACGGGAAGAACGACAGCTGCCCAGCCCCTCCTTGTACCTAAGCTACAGATGGTTAAACTGAGGCACAAGACAGTAGGAGAGACAGAGTGCTGAGGGTGGAACTCACCCTCTCCAGGCTTGCGGGGCATTTGGGGTCACCTTGGTTTGGGGTTTTCCCCACCCATCACCAGAGGGGCTCATCCTCTCTCCACATGGGATTTGGGGTGGATCCATGAAAATGTGAGCATAATCCTTCACACTCTGTGAGTTCAAGAACTTTCTGACGCTCTAAGAATCTGAAGGGAACAAAAGTGATGAAAAATACAGGCCCCCAAGCATCACCACCTACTCAGGCTGACCTCAGCCTCCCTTCTGCTGACAGCCTGGCTTCCTATCTCCTCTAGCACACGCCAAACTCTCTCGGGGCTCAGCCCTAGGCCTTGGTGAGCATCTCCCCTCTCTGACCTCCACTCACCTTGCCATCCCACCTGGGATGCTGCTCACCAGGAAGACAGCACCTTTGATCAGCTTCTCTAAAGCCATACTCAGGACCTACTTGGTCCATTTGGTGCCCACTGAGGGCTTGCTGATGCACAAAAGCAAAACAGGGAGCCCCCACACATAGGACTGCAGGAAGCTGGCACAGGGAGCCTGTGGAGACAAAGGCTGGGTTCCGTGGAGGAGCGTGTGTCAGCAAATGGTCAGCAACTGCTTCAAACTGCTCATCCCAGAGACGAGGACATGGTCTGTGGGGAGCGGGGACTGGTCCTTTAAAAGTGCTCTGCCACCTTGGGATGGGGAGGGCGGCGGGAGAAGGTTCAATAGGGAGGGGACATAGGTATACCTGTGGCTGATTCATGTTGATGTTTGGCAGAAACCAACACAATACTGTAAAGCAATTATCCTCCAATTAAAAATAAATAAATTTTAAAAAACATAGCAAAAAAGGGCTCAGCCACCTCCAGCCTGCCTGTTGAAAATCCTCTAAACCAACCAGCAACAGGGAGGAATAACAACAGTGAACAGCTCCTGCAGACACCAACTGGAGAATTTACATCTAAATTCTATATCCCCAAGCGGTTTACACAGTGCAAGAGGCTTTCTTTGCCAATATCACTAACAGGATAAAAACAGCTGGTGTCATTAAATCCCGAGGTGGGCCTGCAGCCCACGGCCTGCTCTCCTCCCAGGAGGGGATCCGCCCCAGCTCAGGCCCAGGGACTCAGACAAGCTGAATAGCGACAAAACTGAAGTGGTCCTGCATGTTAGGACCAGGCAGCCCCTCATATCAGGTCCGCCGTTCTCTTACACTGCCATTTGGGGCGCCCTTCGGGCCTGCCTTCAACGAGGAGCGTGGGTCTGAGGGCCAGCTGAGATGCTGACAGCAGGCTGGCGCCCTGTTACTGCTGAGTGGGCCAGGCACCACCCACCCCCTGCCGAGGACTCCCTCTTGGCCACTGAAGTCAGCTCCGTGCCATGAGCGTGTGATGGGGGACCCATGGCCTCCTCTCTTGGTGCCTCAGTTCTGACATTTGAAAACCCAGCACACAGTGCCCGGCAAGGGCCCAGTGTCTGGAGGCTGTCCTTGCCAAGGGGACAGACATGTGGGTCCAGGGCAGCAGGGGAGGGCCCTGTGTCCCCTCCTCCCGTCCCCTCACATGCAGCCAAGAGGCTGGCTTCGAGGCCACAGTGGGGTAGCTCCTGCCTGTTACCCCAGCACCACAGAAGGCAGGAGGGGTGCTGGACCAGAGCCAGGAGCCATCTGTCCCTGCAGCTCCCACAGGAACCCCGCCCTTCCCCAAGTCTTGTCTGGGACTCAGATCTTAAGATCCAGGTGGACTGTCTCCGCTGTCCACAAGACACTCCCAGGCTGCCAGATGGCTCATGCTGGCTGTAGGATCCTGCTCTGGCCCGAGGGAATTGCCTCTGTGATCCAAGTTTCTCATTCACTTTGAGGTTCTCTGTGTGCCTGTGATCCCTGTCCCGAGCACCCATGGCCTAGGAATGTCCTACGGAATTCTGACAGATCGACGGCTGCACCTGAAATGCACCCTGGGGTTTTTGGACCATCATCCTGAGACAAGACCCAACCAGAGTGTTGGGTGTCAACCAAGCACTTGCTCATACAAGGTTCCTGCGTTTCAGCTGGCAAGTGCTTCATAGATTAACTCCGGCCATCTAACAGCCAGTGGACATGACTTTGAGCAAACTCGGGGAGATGGTGAAGGACAGGGAAGCCTGGCGTGTTGCAGTCCACGAGGCTGCAAAGAGTCAGACACGACTTGGCGACTGGACAGGCTAACAACTTGAGCGGCCAGCTCAGAGGACTCGGAGTACACTGGCCATTGTCCTTATCTAACGACAACATGATGCTGAGACTGTGGTCTCACTTAGAAAGAAGCTATTTTGCACTGATCCGCCCGCCAGGCAGTCTTCACAGACTCATTGTTCAGAAGATGGGCGGGGGTCTACCTGGAAAGGGCCTGCCTGCTGAGGTTGGTGTGTTCTCAAGTTGGGAGAAGCAGCCACAGGTGAGGGAAGGATCTGGGCAAGGGGGCGTAGGACGGGAGATGTCCTTCCAGGCACACACACCCCTGCATGAAGCCAGCCCACAGTGGGACTCGTGGTGACACCTGTCACTCAAGAAAACGCCCCCTACCCCGTGTCTGAATTGTGTCACTAAACACGAGACATAAATTGCTAGCTCTTCTCTACCCCCCTCAGCAGCCACCCCCAGCCATGCCAGGAAAATAAGACCCACCTTTCCCTGTGGGTGCTGCCCCCACCTGACATCTGTCATTGCAAACTCAGGGGAGCTGTCTGGGGGTGACGGGCTGTGGGCTGGCCTCCCTTCACTCCGCTGGAGCTGTTTTTATCTGACTCCAGGGGAGGCTCCACGCGCCGAAGCCGCTTCCTCGAGAGCAACCAGCCGCCAGCCTGCTCTCCTCTTGGCCCAGGGGATGCTGTCTTCTCACAGCGGAAGGTTCTGACTTTCTGGATAAAGCCAAATCCGAGCCCACGCCTTGACCATACAGAGGCTTCCAAACGTGAAAGAAGCTGCAAAGGCTTGGGTTGGGGCCAGGAAGAAAGGAGGGGTAAGAGACAGACACTGCCAGCCGTCCAGGACATGTAACCTGGCCCCAGGCAGCTCATCGGAACTAAGGGATGGATGGGGAGGTGGGAGGCAGGTAGGATCAGGCCCAGAAGCGGAGAGCCCACCTCTGAGTCGGGGCCCAGGGTGGAGGTGGGGGGCAGCAAGTGGCTGAGGGAATTCCATTTCTTCAAGGATGCCAGTTTGCTGTCCAGGCCACAGGGAGCCCGAGACCCACCTCCCAGCAGGACTATAACTAGAAAGTTCGGTGGATGGGGTGGGTGGGCCACTGCCCCAGGTGGAGAGTTCAAGAACAGAGACTAGGCATGCAGTGGCCCCCAAAGGGGCTCACGGAGGAGCGAGGGGCCTGCCCAGCTGCCGGTTCCCCAAGCCTTCCCATCCATTAAGGGGAAAACGACCAGAAAAGGCCGCTCTTCTGTGCTGCTTTGCTTCATTCATGTCCGAATCTCTGTGGCCCTATGGACCACAGCCCCCAGGCTCCTCTGTCCATGGGATTCTCCAGGCAAGAATACTGGAGTAGGTTGCTGTGTCCTCCTCCAGGGGATTCTCCCAGCTCAGGGATCGAAACTGCGTCTCTGTCTCCTGCATTGGCAAGTGGATTCTTTACCACTAGTGCCACAGGCCACTCTTCCATCCCTGGCCAAATTCTGACTGAGTCCCTGATAGATAGGAAAAGCCCCTTGCAGAGAAACACACCCAATGGCACAAAGTCCAGTGAGGCCAGAAACTTGGCTTTGGGCCAGTCCCACATTTTAACAACCCCTACGTTAGAATAAAAATGACAAGAAAGCAGACATGTGAATGTCTACTTTGTCACTGTAATTTAGATCTCCTTTCTCTTAATTGCTAATTGATCTTGAATCAGACATCTTCTGGTGGTTGTGGCTCTGTAACAATCACTTAGGTGTCACAAAGCGCCCGATCATCCCTTTGCGACAGGAGGAATCCCCGTGTAACACCAGCGAGGTCGCCTGAATGCCTCTGTTTGCAGGATTTTTGCAGAAGAAGGCTTTTCAGAGAGGGATCCACCACCCCCTGCAATTATTATTATTTTTTTTGCAATTCTAAAACCCCTAAAGCTCTCAAATGGTGAGTTTTCTCCCCTTACGTACTTAGTGGCAAAATCTGACCTGTACTGAGGCGAAGCTATTTACAGTTTTATTGATCCTAATAAGTCTGATTATTCACATGCTCCTCTGCAGAAATGGTCCCGTGTTTCATGGTGTGAGCAGGTCTAGACTCCGCTGGGCTGTCACGAAATGGATGGCAAACATTTCTTCTTCTCTTCCTCAGATCTAAAACGTGTGAAGTCAGAGACCTGTCAGCCCTAAGGATTTCAGAGAAAGGACTGCGGGCCCCAGACAGTGTTGAGTATAATGGGGAAGGCTGCCCACGCGGACCTGGGTTGGTGAACGTGTACATGAACATCTGGCAATTCCAGCAGTTTTGCCCCAGGAATGGAGCCACTGCCTTCCTTCCCAGGGAAACAAAGGTCAGATCCGCCCAGACCTGGAGACTTCAGTGGTGAGGAGATGGGAGCGGCATGGGGCCAGCAGACACCCGTAGGGACCCGTCCCCGCGTACAGCTGAGGGCACAGCAGGCGTTTCCACACCGGGCAGGAATCTGTCTATCCTTACTCACACCCCGGTGTTGCCTCCAGGAGACCACTCCCACAGGGGCCCGGAGGAGGTGTCCCCTGCAGTCCTGCCCCTTGACGAGCCCTGCTCGCCTGGACGGGGTCACTGCTGCCTGGCCTGGCCACCCCGCACGCCCGCACGGTGGGCAGCAGACGAGGCGAGGCGGCCCGAGCCTGGGGTGCTCCAGCTTCTTGCATCAGCATTCCCACCTCCACCCGACTCCCCACCCAGCCCAGATGCCCTCTGGGCGTCTGCGCTACAAGACTCTCTGGAGCAGCAGGAGGAGCTGGCAGCTCTCAGAGCCTGCTGAGAAAAGCAGGTGCGTTTTCAAAATAAATAGTATTCTCAAATCCCCTTCTTTACACTCCAAACCCAGGAAGCGGCAGAAGAGAACACGTGAAGACCCCGGGCCGGCCGCTGCCTGACGTGGCCCTCCTGGGCACCGGGCTTCTCAGCGGCTCGCCCGGGCTCACAGCTGCTGTGGGATGCCCTGCTCCTTGTAGCCTGTGAGGGAGAAGCAGAGGAGAGATGGTCAGACACCCACTTCCCCCACCATTTCTCCAGGCGGTGCCCCCGGACTCGAATATGCTAGAACTTATTCACACAGACGCGTGAATGACTGCTACAGCCACGGTCCAGCTTTTCCCAAGGGTGTTGGCTTCTTAATGGGGAACAAGGGGATGAGTGGAGAGAGTGGATTTCGGGGTTTAGTGGGGGAGACATGAGAGGAGGGTTTCTGTTACAGACCTGCTGGGGGTTGAAAGGTTATCAATGTGCTCCTGAATCCACACCCCTGAAGCCACTGCACAAACGTGGCCCCGGCCAACTGGCCGGCTGCCATTTCCTAAAGCGGCGCCTTGGGAGAAGGTGCCAGGAAGACTTCCCCAAGTGATGGGCATCTGGTACGTGTGGACGGAAAAGAGGAAGGAAGAGAAAAGGAAGACAGCATAGAGAAGGGAGGAGCCAAGCCGGCGTGCTCCATCAGTTGGACATCAGTGACACAGGCCAAGGTGACTGCTGGCTTCGAGCCTTTTAAAGCCTTGGTGGTGACTATGAGGACACGAGAAAAACTTGATCACTGTTGATATTAAGGAACTGATGCTAGTTTATTTGAGCATGAAAAGGTACTGTGGTTCCTTTTTTTTTTTTTTTAAGACATCTACTGGGATATTAAGGGTGAAATTTTCATCTGGGTTTGCTGAGTAACTATTAGCTGGTAACTCAGCCCACAGAGAAGCATCAGCGGACTTGTTTTTTTTCCCTCTCTATTTACCAGGTTACTGATTAAGTTAAGGTGTTGGGGTGGAGGCAGACACAGGCAGTAATAGAAGAAAACAGAGTGGCCATGAGTGGATGATGGTCGAAGCTGGTATAGGCGTTTAGAGATTCACTATACTAGGCCTTCTATTTGTGTCTATGATTAAACATTTTCCAAAATAAAAAACTAAAAATGGAAGCTTGTTGACCAACTGGGAGAGGGGGTGTTTGTGTGCGGGGAGTGGGGGGTAGGCAGGGGACTGGGAGGGTAGCAGTGAGAGGTGGGGGAAGGGCAGTGAAGGGAAGGGTCCAGGCAGCCCAGGCATGAGACCTGTGCATACCCTAATAGACTCACCTTGGGAAACTTCAGAGAAACACAGGAATATGAGGCAGCATGAGGAAGAGGAGAAAAAGAGAAAGAGAAAACAGTCTAAAAAAAGAGGCCAGACATGAGACAAGCTGGGACCTGGCACCTGGGACCTTTGCTGCAGTGTTGGCACCTGGACAAACTCTCTTTGAGCAACAAAATGCAAAGACACTATGAGGGATCAAAAATAACTGCAGGCATGTGCGTGAGCAGTAGGGGCAAATTATGGACAAGAAGATACAAAAAGACCAAAAGAACCAACTGTCACTTCTGAAGAGCCTGGAGCAAAAGCAGGGTATCATGCATGTCCCCTGCACACAACGCCACCTAAGCCACCCCTCCAGCCAGACCCCTGGACCTGCCCCTACCTTCATCCCGCGTAAGGAATCAGTTCACCTTTCTGCTCAGGAAGCGACCAAAGGAACCTATTATTTGTTCTCACTCTCCTCTACTGCAACAGGGGCCCCCAGTAAAACCTTGCCTGATTTCTCATCTGGCTTCTTACCAGTTTCTACTGATTAAGGAGGCCAAGAACCCTGGTCGGTAACAGAGGGACGGCCTGAAATTTTAAAAGGGAGAGGCTGCATGGTGGGGATTGGGAGATGGAAGAGGGCTGCAGTCTGCATCCACAGTGACCAGCCACTGCGGCCAGTGGGCAGCCGCAGAGGGTGTGTGGGCAGGAGTCAGCGTGAGCATTCTCCCCTCCCTGGGGGTCACACTCCATGAGACACCACCAAGGAGCTCTCTCCTCTTCCCTCCGAATCTCAGCCAAGGTCGCTCTTCTGCCCACCTCCTACCCCTTACTCTTCTTCTGCCCCCAGCCCATGTTTGCCGCGAGACGAATTCTGGATGGCTCCAAGGAGGGACAGCTCCAGGACAGGTTTGACTGTGACAGCCTGCTGTTGAAGTGACCCATCCTGGCCCCTGTCTAAGCCATGGGGTTCACCTTTTATGTGGACAGGAGTCACATGTATAAAACCTAATGCTTTGGGGAAGACTCAGGCAGGGAATGGCAGACAGACTTTTATCTTGTAGACATCTTGGATCCATTAGTAGTGACTGCCTGAAGCCCTGTGTTGAAAACGGGTAAGACTATTCAGCAGAAAGTGTCAGGATAGATTACCAATGTCTGCCATGGGTATCAGAGAAGGCAATGGCATCCCACTCCAGTACTCTTGCCTGGAAAATCCCATGGATGGAGGAGCCTGGTAGACTGCGGTCCATGGGGTCGCTAAGAGTCGGACACGACTGAGCGACTTCACTTTCACTTCTCACTTTCACACATTGGAGAAGGAAATGGCAACCCTCCCCAGTATTCTTGCCTGGAGAATCCCAGGGACGGGGGAGCCTGGTGGGTTGCCGTCTATGGGATCACAGAGTTGGACACGACTGAAGTGACTTAGCAGCAGCAGCAGCCATGGGTATGGCAGCTGAAAAAGGCTCCTGTACAATTACCAAGTATTTATTGACCCACAACCAATACAGGCTACTGTTAACTGTTATTAATTATTTTTATTAATATAAACAGAGCAATAGCCTCGCAAGTCCCTAATTTTAACTGCTACTTTGATTTAGAGTTCTCTGATTTCCAGTAGGAGGTTTTTCTTGATTGTGTGTTTCTTTTGTTGTTATTGTTTTAATTAATTAATAAAGTCTTTATAGTAGGTCCTTGTTGGTAATCTATTTTAAATTTAGTAGTATGTACATGTCAGTTCCAAACTCCCAATCTATCCTTTCCCATGGTACGTTTCTTGGGGACACTCACGAAATGCTAGGTAAAAAAATTACCCTGTGTTGTGACAATTGGAAAGTCTCCTTCATTTTTACAGGAAGAAGGTGGAGTGACATGAGAAATAACAGCCACTTATCCAACTATCTACTAGGGCAGACATTGTGCCAAGAC